TTGTTTCACTGGAATTAAAAGTATTGACTGAGCTTGGTTTGAAGTAAACTGGAAGAATGGACAGGAGGAGCCAAAGAAGTCTCTGGCAYRGYAGGTTGTTTGTGTCGCTTCTTTTTGGAGTAGGCGTCAAAGACCAGTGAATCTTGTGTGACGCTCTCCGGTGGTTGCTTACTATGTGGCAATGATGTAAAGGTTTGTTTGTGAAGGACAAGTGTTTTTTAAAAAAGGTTTTCTTCAAAGAGGACCTAGCACCACAGATGACAACACATTTCTTGTTCCTCTTTCTGTTGTAAAACAAAAAGAGGATTCTTCAGGACAGATTTTTGGAAGGGCATATCTATGTGCATTCAAAACAAAAGGAATAATATCATCTTTGTTGTCTTTGTTGTTTCATCATTGAGAATATTTCCCAGGTAGCAAGGCTACTGTGCTCTTTGTCCAATCAAATGGAAATAACAGGAATCTTGCTTATGCAAAATTCCTTTTCTTTCTCTTTGTTTTGAACAAAATCTATTAAATTACCTCCACAATATTCTCTGTCTTTGAGGACCAATAAGAATGATAAACTCACATTTGTTCTGAACACTGTTTTGAAAATTATTGTTGACAAGCATGAACAAAGTGTGGTCTTGTTTGGGAACACAACTACTAGTCATCCCAGAAAATGAAACTAGTAGTACTGAAACTTGTTCTTTTAGAACAATGCAGTATAAGTATGCCCACTATCACCAGCCCATACAGGTAGACTTTAATCCTTACTTTATTATCTGAGTACATCTTCGACTTCTGTGAACACCAGTAGAATTACGATGAGAGAGAAAGGGAAAACATATGAGATTATATACTAGTAGTAGTTGTTGTTGTTGCCGTTGTCGTAACTTTACTATGACATCATTTGATACTGGAAGAGTCATAGGATTACTATCTAGCACTGAAAATTCAAAAAATGAGAATGACAGGTACTATTTACTCCTGTATCATTGCTGAATTGTTTGAGCCTCTAATTAGTGAGAAACCAAATGGCCTGTTATTACTACTGCTCTCTAGTACTGCTATGTAAAGGCATTCATATTTTTTTTGAAAGTACCAAGAAGCTCAAAGAATAACAACAACAATGTGACACAATTCTTGTTGTGTTTGATTATTAGTACTGCTAGTACCTGCATTTTGTGTTGAAGATAACAGAAGTCATTTGAAAGACACTCATCTCACATTGCCACAAACATAGAACCAAAAATCTCAAACTTTCAAAACTAATTTAACTACTCGTCTCGTACTACTATAGCAAGGATAAAGTAAACTCTGATCAAGAATGTTACTAGAAAATATCATGATTTTCTGCTTTATCTGTCTATTTTTCTTAGTAATTTTAATTGTATAGTAGTGAATGGTCTCTGAATTGCTCAAATCACCTACTGGAATCACAACTACTGGAATCATATCTTTGTAGAGCATCACAAAAACAATATTGATATTCTTTTTATTGTTCACATTGCATTGGCTGGACACTACCATATAGGCTTGGCTACGTTTTTCCGGCTGAACCAATCATACATTAGGAATGCTCAATATATATTGATCAATACTTCTCAGATCCCCTACTCCCCCACAGCATTAGAAAGCTCTTTCTTTAATTCTCTTTTAAAGCATGTGCTTTTTGTCTTTATGTGTCTGTTGGGGACAAAGTTATAGCGGTTAGCATGAGTTGAACCTCTCTTGTTAATGCTCTACGTGTTTTTCTACTGTGCTTCAATTTTGGGCCATCTAATTACCGTGTAATGACCTGTGGGATTAAAATTTGACTTGTATTACACCTACATCATACATGTGCAAGTGAAACTATTTTGGTTGCACGACTGCTGGGAATAAAATTTGCTGTACCAGTAGTATGATTGAGACATGCAAAATAAGGGCCCAAAATGTACAAGTGGTGCACACATTTGGTTGCCATCTCCATACAATAATCATGATATCCTCATCAAGATACTACTACTAGGAATGCGAAATTGCTTCCAACAAACTATTTGCCAATTGAAAACTTAGCAAATGTCTTTACATTGAACCATGTTAATGGTACAAGCACTATTTTTGGAAAATCTTAGTTTTGTTCAACCTCATGAACTAGAAGAGAAACTACTAGTATGTTGGTCAGAGTCATTACTTCCCCTTACTAGGAAGAAGAATGATCCTCCCAGCTGCTCCTTGGAGGGGCAGTGCCTCCCTCCCAGGAGGTTTTGTGGAGGAGCAAACCAGGTTCTAGTAGGCATACTGGTGACAAGAAAAATTAAGGCCTGGGGCTGGACTTGTGATAAAGAGAAGGTGTTGGTTCAAAGTTAGGATGGATCAGATCCATGTCATGATTATTCCCAAGTGCACTGTCAAGCCAGAAGACAAGTCTCTCCACAGTGAGCAAGGAAACAAACAGGTGCCAAGCACACTGCCAAGCCAATTAAGGTAAGCTCCCTACAATGTAGTACTACTACAAAGAAGCAGGTGGTGAAGTAGTCATAAAAAAATAAAAATAAAAAAACAAAAAAACAAAGAAAGAAGCCAAAAGAAAAAAGAAAGAGAAATACAGCCCACCAATAAACCAACTTGTTGGTCTTGGTATAATTATTTGTCACTTAGCTATGCAATCAATGGTTCTTGTAACATTGATATTTTCTGGAGGTGGAAGTATCAATGGTTGTAGTCCTAGCACTACAGGAGCAGCTTCCTGTGTTGCTTCTTCTCAAAGAAGTGATAATGGAAAACCTTATTAATGGTACTAATGCAAGCAGGATGCTGTTTAGATAGGAGGACATGGGTAAAGAGGCTGGGGATAGATTTAAAAGATCTAGATTGGGGCTATGGTGAGTGTTGTTGCTGTCTGGTACAGATGTTGGTGGAAACAACAGCATTGTGACCAGAATCATCTTCCTGTCTGCAA